CAGCAGGGCTGGGGGGCAGGGGCTTTGGGTGGGGGGCAAGGGCACAAGCAGGGCATCCTGCCATGTACCCCCTGCCCTCATTTTGTTTTTCTGGCATGCTGGCACTCCGGCACCTTCCAGGGTAGGCATTGTGGTGTTTTTCAGCACTCTGGCCAAAAAGCTTTGCCTATCCCTGATCTAATTCATGATCCACACAAACATGCCTCCTGCCATGCATGCTATAGCAGGAGGTGCTATCGTGTGGCTCATGCATTAGATCCCATCTCAGTGGGGGGGGGCAAGACTCTTCTGATTTTTATTATGAAGGGTATGCACATATCTAAGTAAACTTTTGGAAAATCTGAGGAACATCTCTGTAGCAGTGAAAGAGTGAACCCCTCTGCCCAACCCACCTCTCAATTGAGAAGAGCTGCAACTTTGTTTGCTGGAAAAGGGCTACAGGAAATACAAACAAAACTTGAGAGGTGGCACGTGCATGGCCTTCCCTAAGGATAAATATGCTTGCTTGCATAAAGAAACCTTTTGATTTGATGAATACATCCCTTTTAGTTCTCTGAATGTGTGCAGAGGAAACTAACAGTTGCACACAAATTGAGGCACTGTGGATAGTGTGCTTATTGTACCAGTGTTTATATCAGATTTCATGGCTCAGGACAGTTTGGATGCCTGGTGGAGACTGACAGAATCCTTCTATCAATCTGGTCCTGGACAGCTCTACAACCTCTGTCTGCCACTTCTGCTGCTTTGGGATTTATTTTAGTGGCTGCAGCATTGACCCATACCTTCCCCACATGGTAGTGGTATCTGAAAATCTCTACAGATAAGGAGTCAGTGGCACACCCCTTGGTCTAGGATGAAGAGACCAAGCTCATTGCTTTTCAGTATTTGTGTGCCTGAGCAAGTAGAAGGAGTCGCATGTCCCTGAAGAGTGAACATAATGATGGTTCAAGGAAGTTGCAAGCTCCATTAGTGAAGGCAGCTCCGAAGATCAGCTTTGCCAAGTGAGTGACTATAGAAATAGAGAATGATGCCAGAGGCCCTTCTAAACTCCAGTGTCCCTGGTTCTCCTGTTGTTAATGATAAAGAACAATGTGAGGGGCAAGGATTTTTGTGGGTGACATCTTGAGAGAACAAAGTTTGGGTACTTGGTACCCAAAAGCTTGTTTACATTCCTCTCAACTATGCAGTCAATCCAATAAAAGATACTGGTCCACAAAAATCCTTGCCTCCTATTTTTCCTGGGACAGCACCCCAACCATAATAAAGAAGAAGTTGGACAACAATCATTAAATAAATAGGCTGTAATATCTGTACAAAATTATATAAATACAAGTTTTTTGGGGGAGGGACTGCCTCCTTTTATAGTATTTAGCAACCCTTATAATCTTATTGTGATACTGCTATGTCACAATTCATAGGACAAACATTTAGAATTACATTCATACTGTGCAAAGGTAACAGAAAGGCCTCTCAAGACTTCGTTTCTGAATCTTTATCCTAAGCACAGTTAGTTATCCAACAGGTGATCCTCTGAATAGGTCTTGCTAGTAAAGAAATGTAAATATCTTGCCTCACTGCCCTTCATTAGTTATTTTAGTAAAAACAACCATCACATTATTATTAAGGAATCTGTCCTTCATTCCATGCATAACTTCCATGCTGCATATTAAAAAAAACCCTCCCCACAAATGTCATAGTTTACAAAAGCACTCTGTACACAGTGAAACGTATCCCAAGTTAAATGTGAATGTTATTAAAAATAGGAAAAATACATTATTACCACTGATTTTACAGGAACAAAACTGCAGGGAGATAAAAAAGTCCCCAAAATAGTTTTATCTGGACAACATAATGTACAATTATTAATACTGCACTTTTTATACAAGAAATCCTAATAAATATACACAAAAGATATACATTTACATACACAGAAACACATTCTCTATTTTTCTTTTTAAATAAAAGTTACACTGATTCTTAGGAACAAGTTTTCTTGGAGACCCATTGTAGAGTGCATGTTTACTGCCAGATACACTTTGGAATGACCAAACTGCAGGCGATTTAATGTAATGGACCTGACATTGACCTCACAAAAGAACTTCCAGGCTTGTTGAAAAATCCATATGTAATGGAAGCTACAACATATCAATACTTTCAGAGTGTTTTATTACTTCACCACCACATGTGAGCCCCACTGGGGCAACATAAGAGCCACAGCCAAACCTTTAATGTAGAGGTGGTCCTGAAATAAAGCTTCTGACCTGGACATCTCACCCTTAAAGTTTGGGGAAGTTGAGATCCCAGTTCTCCAGCTTGAGTCTGTTTTTAATTTTTCATGCATGCAAGGTGCTGAGCAACCTAGATTTCCACTGACCTGACTTGAGAGCACCCAGGACTTAGCTTAATGAAGCACTTAACTGATTCAACCTATTGATCATTACTGCCAGCAGGAGAGAGAGAGAGAGAAAGAGAGAGAGAGAGACCCATAATGAGCAAGCAAAGTCACATTACAGATGTGAAATCTGAGCTTTGCCTCTCAGCTCACATCTGCAGAATTCTATTGGTGGACATAAAACTATGCTGTTTTCTAGCATCCAGGGTTTTTGTTTTGGTGTCTTTTAAGAATTGGTACTGCTACTGTGAAACCAATGCTGATGAGACTACATTCTGCATACCTACGTAACGGGAACAACCAAAAGGAACAACCATTTTTCTTGGGAGACCCATCATAGAGAGCATGTTTACTGCCAGACACATAGTACAGGAACAACAGGAACAACCATTTTTCATGAGAACAGAGCTGCTGTGATTATCATCAGCGGAGGACTTGGCTATTAGGATAGAAACATTCCTCACTGGCAGGACATAAAGACCATTTTTACAAACTAAATATTATCTGTAAGCCCATAACAGATCCCAGATCTGAAAGCCCCTGAACTCTGGGAACCTGGGCTCCTTCGTACTCAGCATACGTCTTAAATCATGTTTAGATTTAACGTGGTAAGTAGCTCTTGTTGCTACAAACATACATCTCTTGCCAGTGCTCCACAATGATAGAGCAACATCAGCAAGTTCACAATATAGTTTGTCAATAGCATATCATTCTGTCTCTCTCTTTCCTCTTCTGTATAATCCTGTACTTCATCTTTCCTTTTGCCTCTTCCTGCTGCGGAGAAAACTATGCACTTATTCAGATGCTTTTAAAATTAATTCATGCTTTACCACAGTTCAGCCTCCTGTTCAGGTACCAAGGCCCAGATCATCAAAAGCATTTGGACAGTAATCATTTGAGGATCTGGGCCTAGATTCTAATTATAGGAGTGAGAGAAAGGAGAGGGAACTGGAACCCAGTCTTGGAGACAACAGACACTTTTAAAAAGCAAAACTATAACTTTTATGTCCACAAACCCTCCAAATTAAGTACCTGCCTACTGAATGTATAATGCTCAAATCAGGTTTTCAGCAGCCCAGGGCATGTCAAGCTGTTTGATTCACAGTCTGGTAGTCTGATCTGATGCTAATGGGATGTTTGTTGTGTGGTACTTACACATCAACAAAGAGATGGGGATCTCAAGACCTGTATGTAGATTGCTATACAGCTCAGTTCCTCTTGGCGCTGTCTTGCTTGTAATATGGTTCTCATCATCTTTCTTTTCGGTCCCAGCACGACCGTTTTGCTGCATTCTGTCTCCCAGCTTGGTAGAAGGGAAGATTTGTCAAGTCCTTTACAACAATGATTCAGTAAAACATTTTTTTAAAAAGGGGGGAAATAAATAAAATGAAAACCGAATTCTGTCCCATGTATTTTCTTTGTAAGAGTCCTTGCTGTAGTGAAGCAAAGGCTGATGCTCTGTTCCTCCATTTTGGCTGCTCCATTCTTCATGCTTTTCCACAAGTCCCGCAGCAGCGAGATTTGAACTGGGTGAGTTGACAGAGTTTGAGCTGCTTCACCTTCTCACAGTACCTGGTGGTGTCTCTGCATTCCACTAATCAAAGGGGAATAAAAAAAGAAAAAGGTGGTGAAACAATGAAGGAATCATTACCAGTCTCAGAGAAACTGTGATTCTTAGGTGTCTTGCCTGGAAAAGGGGCCACTGAGGGCAAATCTATATATGCAATTAATGTGCCAGATTTTTCTGCACAGAAAATTCAGGTGCATTAAACTGTGCCCAGGCACTCACCTGAACATGTGCCCATTGGGAGCAAAATTGTTCCCAATGGGAGCAATTCAGTCTAGGGCTGCTCCTGCCCTTTCTGTCCCCTGAAGAAGCCAAGGGGCGCTCCAGGATCCCAGGGGTGCCAGCCCTGGGCTGGCAGGGGGCATGGGAGCAGGTCCCAATCTCTGGAGGCAGCTGCCTCCCAGCTGCATGGAGATGGGGAATGGTCCCATTCTCTGCAGGGCGGGGAGAGCTGTCCAGGCTCTGGGGACAGCTGCCTCTCAGCTGTGTGGTGATGGGGACTGGTTCTAATTGGCATGTGGCTGGAAGGCAGCTGCCCCCAGAGTCGGGACAGCTTTCTCCCAGCTCTGGGGAGACTGGGGCTTAGCCAGGCAGCGGTGGCCTCCTGCTGCTTGGGGTGGCCGCGAGCAAATTGCTCCTGGTCAGGGTCTACACAGGCGCTTTAGTGTATTAGTTAATGCGCCATTTTTCTAGTGCCGGCACTAGCAAATGGTGAATTAGACTAATTTAATGCCCAGTAATTGATGCACATGTGTAGCCAGTGATGCTTTACTGCACATTAGACTAATCTAATGCACATTAAAAAATCATCTCTGTTTATATGTGCATGTGTAGATGTAGCCTGAGAGACTGGACTTCAGACTGAACCTTGAAAGTGGGAATTCAGGTGGGCTCAAAGAAGAACTTAACATTCAGCTGTTGTTTCTAGAACATGAAATCAGAGAAGAGGCTTCTGGGTAAATATTAGGTTTGTGGGACACTCAGATTTCAGTGTAGCTCTCACTGCACTGGTTGGGGCTTTTCCCTATCTTAGATATAGGATGTCAGTTGCTATGTGAGAGGTAAAGGTGTAAATAAAATAGGTATAAGATTTTCCCTCCTTAAGAACCTTCATGAATATTAGTGCAATGCTTGAGTTCCACAATGGTTGTCCTAGAGGTTTCTATGCAATCTAGTTCTAGAGCTGAACTTGTAGCCTTGAAGAGAAGGATTAAACTGGCTCTAAGATACCTTTTCGTCTTTCTTAAATACTGGGCATTGGGAGTTCCCTGGTTTAACTGCAACAGCTGTGGAAGCCTGTCTAATTTACATCAGCCTCCAGGTGTTGCCCTGGTGTGAAATCTCCACTAAGTTTTGTGTGCTGTAGCAACCAACAAGCCACACATAGTTCACTAGGGCTTCTGAGGGCATCAGTGGGCAGATTTGCAGCTGTTTTCCATAGTACCTTTGCCAAAGGACCCTCTCCTGGCTAGCAGTGGGGATTTCATGGATCACAGAATCATAGAAAATGAGGGCTGGAAGTGAGGTCATCTAGTCCAACCCCCTACTCAAAGCCAACTATATAATCTCATTGCTAACTGTATAATCCCAGCCAAGGCTTTGTTTAGTCAGGTCTATTTGAGGGCCTATTTATGCCACTGACCTTTTTATTTGGCCAAAAGGGTGAGGATCTCATCACCTTCAAGTTCTATCTGTGTCACCGTCCTATTCGCTCTCATTAAGACAACTCGTGATGGGGAGGGGAGGGGAGGGGAGGGGAGTGTCTGCCAAGTCACTGTATTTGCATTTAGAGGGAAGAGAACACCTGGTGTAGGTGCTGCTTCCCCTAATGTGATGCTGCAGAGTGGTGCTCTGCACGCCTGCCTGTGCACAGCACTGGAATCTCTGACTACATACCATTCTCTAGGAGTGGGCCTTTAAACTCAATATTTGGGAACTATAACTGGCAAAGGGTGAGTGATCTGCATTCTTGCTGCCTGCTGTACCCAGGTGGAAATTTGACACATAAAGTTTAGCTTTAGGAGAGGCACATCTGTTCCAGATTACTTTTTCAGTATTTATAACTTGTATGTTTTTTTGCAGGCCCAATTAAATGTTTGTCGCCTCAAAGCCACTTCCACTCTAGGAATTTCCAGCACTAGCCAGCTAATCTCCTTCAGGCAAACAATCTATTCCTAACTTTTCTTTCTCTCCATGCCAGTAACAGAAACTCAAGACAACCCTTTCCCTTATTAGAAATGGGATATTCCACTGGTTCCCACCCCTAACAACAACAACCAATTCATGAGACACTCTTGTAGAAATGTTGAATTTTGCAGGCTGTATTGCACAGCTTGTTAATTAAATATTTGCCCAAGAAGCCCACTGTACTCTGGGTGCCAGGTTCTTCAGTGAAGATTTTTTCCTGTAGGAACATACTGTTTTCACAGGGGGTGATGTTACAGCGTTGCCAGTTGGAAGGCCTTGGTCTCCAAGAACAGTAGAGCTCTTGCATGGGTTTGTTAGTATGGACATGTACACATTCCACACGCCTTGACTGGAAGCCGTAGTTACCACAGGTAGCTGTGCACACAGTCCAAAGACTGACTCTCCAGTGCACACCGCAGAGCTCTGTCCAGCAGTTCTGAGTGCTCAAAGGCCTGTGAGTAGAAGGGACTTGTGTATTATCAGCATACAAAACAAGAAACAAAACAGAGAATCACACATGGTCTTCCCCAAGTACTGGAAACAGGAACACTGATCCTGAGCTGCTGGTCTTGATCCAGTGCAGCTCCATTGTCCAAATGGACTAAGCCAGTGGTTTTCAATAGCGCTGTGCGAAATTTCGTCGGGTGTTTCGTTTCGATGCGTTTCGAGCTTGAAACAGTGAAATCAAAATGAAACAAAAGACTTTGAAATAGCTTTGAAATGAAATGAGGGCACTTGAAACATTTTGAAAGTTTTGAAACATTTTGAGTTTCAAAACTGGGCTTACTTGGCTTCACCACTGGTTCCAGCTGGCAGCAGCAGCCTGCTGTCATCCTGTGCGCAGATCCGGGGGCCCGCACCACCTGGGAGGAGACTGGCACAGCCCCGCAGCACTCCCAGGGGGTGTGGGCCCTGGGATCTGCACACAGGATGACAGCAGGCTGTTGCTGCTGGCTAGGGCCAGTGGCAGCAGCAGTCTTCCCAACGCTTGGCACAGGCTGTGCCCGTTTGAAACATTTTGAGTTTCAAAACTGGGCTTACTTGGCTTCACCACTGGTTCCAGCTGGCAGCAGCAGCCTGCTGTCATCCTGTGCGCAGATCCGGGGGCCCGCACCACCTGGGAGGAGACTGGCACAGCCCCGCAGCACTCCCAGGGGGTGTGGGCCCTGCTGGGAGGAGTCTGGCACAGGCCTGCAGCCCTGCAGGGGGTGCTGGCCCCTGGACTTGTGTGCTGGATGACAGGAGGTTGCCACTGCCAGTTTGGACCGGCACTGGGGAAACTGCTGCTGCTACTGGCCCCAGGCAGCAGTGGCAGGCTCCTGAGAGGGCTGCGGGGCTGTGCTCCCAGGGGTGTGGGTCCCCAGATCTGCATGCCAGATCCAAAGAGGCTGCTGCTGCCACCTATGATTGGCACTGGGCACGGGCAGCAGCAGCAGCCTCCTGTCATCCAGTGCACAGATCCAGCGGCCTGCGGCCCTGAGAGGGCTGTGGGGCTGTGGCCAACTCTGAATCTGTGCACTGGACGACAGGAGGCTGCCGTTGCTGCCCAAGGCCAGCAGCAGCAGCAATCTTCCTGGTGCTGGGCATGGCCTGTGCCCAGTGCCAGTCCCAGGCAGCAGTGACAGCCTCCTGAGGGCCCACACCCTCAGGAAGACTGTGGGGCTGAGCCCGAGTCCTCTTAGGGGTGCGAGCCTCAGGATCTGCAGGTTGGATGACAGGAGGCTGCTGCTGTTGCCTGGAGCCAGCAGCAGGAGCAATCTTCCCCTATTTGTAGTTGTCCCACAGGATTGGACCTCTGAAACCCTGGGAACAGCAGGGGTCCAAACCTGTAGGACGATGGGCGATTTTTGTGTTACCCAATGAAGCAGGTCAGCTCTGCTGGGGCATATCCTGGCACAGCCGATGCTACAGCCAAAATGATGTCTGTTTTTAGCCTCAGTCTCCAAAGAGTCTTTGGTATCCCTACCAAGTTTGCCAGTTGCTGGCCGATTAATGCTAGTTGTGACAGTTTTTGGTCATGTGGGATGCATGTTCACTAGAAGGGCAAATCTGGGCCTTCTCTGAAGAGATGGCCTTAAAACCACTGTGGGCCTAAGTCTTCTGTCACACCATTCTTACACATATATCCATTGACTGCAACATATTTTTCCTGTTAAGTGAATCAAGCCCCTAAATCGAAAAGGTAACTGTAAAGATATTGGTCCCAGTCATAAATTTATGTATAAAACAGTAGTTATAGTGAGGAAAGATTTCACTTCTACCTTGGCAGGGCACTACACTGATCAGAAGAAACAGAAGTGCCATCTTTGGTCTGGCAAAAGATTTTTCTATGTTGCACAGCCAATCGTGGTCCAATACACGGCCCATTACACTGTGAATATAGAAATAATACACTCAGTGGAAGAAAGGGACAGCATGTAGCCTACTTTTTGAAGCTCTTTCTAGGAAAAGATAAACAAAGGTGCATGTCACCGTGAGGTAGATACTCTCAATCACTTCATACCGGCCTGTAGGCTTTCAAGATCAAGTGTGCAGTCATCTTATGACTTAGCCTCTCTCAGACAGCATTAAAAACCAATTTCTGTATCACTCTGTAGATTTATTTCCCTTCCCTTCCAATATTTCAATCTTAAATCCACCTGTTTGACCAAATAAAATGTTCTTTTATGCTATTTTTGCAGAGCTTGTGATTCATACAGCAATTTTTGCTGTACTCCTTTTGCTGTGCATGTTACAGCTTGTACTCTCACAATTTATAGGCCAGTGGCTAATAACAAATGAGAATCAGACCAAGAACATCTTTCCTTAAATTAACAATTTAAAAATATTGCACAATAATAAATTAGATTGAAAAACCTAATGAACATAGCGGATCGGCAAGGCCGAATCACCAAGCACAACCCTAGTGATTAAAATTCAGCAGTTGCACACTGCAGTTTAATATTCTTCTCCTCTTCCTAGTTTAAATCACAGACAGCCAAAGATATGGAGCATGTAATTACAGCATCATTTTCATTAAGTGTTAAGGAATCTGCTTGATTTCTAGGCAGTCAATCTCTACTAACTGTTTCCAGCAGGGTCCTGCTGCTTGGGACATGGAAGAGAATGGACATGAAGATGAGGATACCACTAGTGGGTGGGGATTTTTCCTGACTGCAGTCCTGACCTCTCTTATCTCCTTCCTCTCAGAAACTCTTTTGCCCCTGCATAGCCTCCTCACGCAGCCCCCTCTCCTGCTGCTGGTTTTCACTTCCCTGAGGGCTGGAAGAGAGAGAAGCAAGTCAATACAAGGCATTCAAATGCCTTCATTGGACACTGGGTCAGACCCATACTGAGAAAAGGTGCATAGAGAAGACATTCATTTGAGTAGGCAGAGCACAGACAAGATATGTATGTGCTGGCAGTGTTCATAATCCACAAATTTGAGCCAATGGGAATTTTTGTTTTGAAGCACTGTTTGATTAGAAGAAAACTCAGGCCTTGGAGGTCAAACAGCCTACAGTGATCTGCTTGCAGCTAAATGAAAGAAGGTGAGAGAAAAAAACAAGGAATTAGCTTTGGGGAGGTTGAAGTCATCTTTTTATTTTCTTTATAGTTTGGGGAAGCTAATCCCTGAACCTGGTCAATATGAACCCGACGTCACCTTGGGTGAACTCTGTAATACAATAGTGAAATGTCACTGATCCGCAGCCAATGTGCTATTCCTAATTGTAATTAAATAATTGTCTTGTAGTCATGGCTTGGAACTGAGCAGTCTAGGTTTACATGGATGTTGAGAATTTTTTTTTTAGGTGGGAGAACTATGATACTGAAAAGCACAAAGGTCAGGTATAACAGATTAATTCATGCCTCTGATTATCTAGACTGGGTATGACATTATGTGGAATGACACAAACCAGGGGATAAAACCACCACTGCAAGGTAACTGGCCAACAGCAAGAATTATACAATCCTTACCTGAAATTCCAAAGCAAGTACGACTTGAGCAATTCGCTTCTTTCTTTTAAAAGAATGCTGCAGTCTTTAATCATATACACTTCATGATAACTCAGTCTAATTTTCTGAATCAATTTCTTCCAAAACATACATGCAGTTAGTTTCAGATGATCAACAGAAATGGTTCTTATTTTGCTAAAACCTCTGAATGCATTGCAATAAACTTTGTTCCACTAAAATTTTGTAACATTGCTTATTGCTTTTGATTAAGCAAATTAGCCAGTGTTGCATGCTGCTTAATAAGTGGCTTTTTAAATTTGTGTTCAGGACTGTATTTAGCAAAGAGTATGACTAATTGAGACATAGCATCACATTGCCATGAAAGATAGCAGAATGAGATAGTATACTTCATTTACCATTGCTTTCCAATTGTCCTACCATGCAGTGAAAGACTACAAAATACATAATGATGACATTACTGAGGATAATGTCATCATTGTATACACAACACTTATCCTATGTAATAATTTCAATAGCCTTTTGGTGGCTTCCACTAAACTTGTTTCCTTATCAAGGCCTGACTAATACTTTTATGATGTTGATTGAAAGATATGACCACTTCAGATTTGCTACAGATAAACTGCTCCTTCATCAAAAATGTCTTTCCTGCCAAAAGTGACATTAAAATATTTGACTAATGCATCAAAGCAAAGCAAATTAGCCCCTCTCGATTAAAGCTTGTTTTTCATTCAGTCTATGCCCCTAGGTAAGGACTTGACCAGGAGAACTTCTGGATTCAAGCCTCTGCCTTGGCTACAACTATTAGCTCTGTAGGCCTAGACTGTTGCAGACTCAGTAACCTTTAAATGTGGCCCAGCCATTATTGAATGAGTGCAGGTTGAATGGTATCATATTGCCTGCATGTGGGCTGCAACCAATGTACATACTTCTTCTAGGAGCTTTGCTAGTGTGGAGAGATCCAGAGAATGAAAGACCCCAGGGTCTCCAGAAGAAGATGATTTCACACACAGTACTATGAATTATTTACAATTTACAGAAACCTTTGTAATGCCTGAGGACTATGTAAAGTAGTGAGAATTTCATAATTTGCAAATTAATGTATGGAATTCTTAAAATGATTTGAATCTAGTCTTGTGTGACACTTTCCTTTGTGTACCAGTTCAAGTGACCTGGATTTCACAAGATCCCAGGCAACCAGGAAACCTTTGCAAATTTGGGGCTTTATAAAAAGACCCTCCTACATGTCAGCCCAGGGAAGGAATGTTGGATGAAAGGAACGTTAAATGTTGCATAACCCAGATATTCACAGTTTAGAAGAATGTGGGCTTCCTTGCATTCAGATGCAAAGAAAAGTTTTAGCAGCAGAAGCAAGGATTGAATGAGCCATGGGAGCTGACCAAATCTCTCTCTCATGGAGACTGACTCTTCTCAACCCATATTGAGACATTGGGCCAACAGTCTAAGGAGACTTTTGCTGCCAGTGTCCAAACTGCACCTGTTCAGGAAAAGAGGAAGGACTGCTTGCCAGGGTTACGTTCATCAGTGTAAATAACTGCAGAGTGGGATTGAAAGCAGAGTAGGGAAGCAAAGGGCTAGGTGCAACCAGCCTTTAATAAGTACACAATTCATCATACAAGGGACAAGGCAGGGAGCATTTCTCAGCCCCAGGCAAGAACAAGTCACAAGCACAGTTGCTGCACCTGGAGAAATGTTGAGACTATTTTCAACTGACTCTCCTCAAGCATGCACATCATTCCCAAGGAGAAGGGGAAAGGAGAGGGTAGGGCCACATTTGGCTTACAGTACAGAGCAGTCTGGCACACTGAAGAGGGTGTGAAAACAGGCTGCTCCAACTCAGGGGATGCATTTTTCCCCCCTCCCTTCACAAGCATCAGGAAACTTGCAGTTGGTTATGCCTGACTAAGGCATGTTCCCTTCATAAGCTCTCCTTGAGACAGTGTGCTTCTGTGCTCAAGGCAGTGCCCATCTGGGACAATTCAACTGAAAATGCCCCTGCACGGGATCAGCCTGCTGTCTTTGTGAAATTCATGATGTTTGGTTATACCAATAATCCCATGTATAAAACATGAGGCTGTAGGCTGTCAGGAGCTCAACTGCCTCTTAACAGTTCACACACCATATTAATGATGGATGCAGAAGCATTGCTTTCATTTTCAGTTGCCACCCTGCAAACCAAGAGCATGTGTGTGTGTCTGCATTTTCTATTTGGTCCTTACCTGGCCCCAGGAGGAGGCCACCCACTCCACACATGGTTGCCTGTTACAGGACTGGGTGTCCACTGGCCGTTTAGCCGCTTGGGCACATGAATCGTTCGAAATGGGAGTAGAGCTGCCTGCAGCTGTCAGTCTCTGGCACATCACCCGGCGGGTCTGGACCCCTCCGCCACAGCTCTGAGTACAAAGGGACCAAGATGTCACCATCCACCTGATGAGGCAGTGCAGAGGGGGTTGGGGAGCAGAAACACAGTAGAGAGTCATGAGTGGCAAAAGAAATAGAATCAGGGGTACTACAGAATACAACTCCCCTGAACTCACATATGTACTTCAAGAAAGGCAGCCATGCCGAGAGGTGCTGAGCGCCCTCAGCTTCCATGGAAGTGAAAAGGGAGCGGAGGAAATTCCACACCTCATATGAGTGTATTCTCTAGAAAGCAATATCTGTTACACATAAGAATCTCCACTAAGGTTAATGGGCCTGTAAGGTAAATTATTCTGCTTTTCCCTTGGATTTGTTTGTAAAACAAATGGGTGCATTCCAATCCCTTAGACCCCTTCTACTCATGCAAAGGCATTCACTATATTTCATCAACATTCTGCTTCTGATTACTCCCCACCATTGCAGAATCAGGAAGTAACATCAAATGAACTAAGGAAATAAGCAAGCTCTCAGCAAAGGGGAAACGTTATTTCTCTTCTTTGTTTCCTGTAGTTTGGCAAGGCTGAACTTGCAGCTTCTCTTCCCCTTGTAAAGCTCTGCCCTGTGCTTCAATCAACTTTTATTTCCAAACATACATTTCAGCAGTTTTCTTGGGAGCTGGGAGAGAGAAGTGTGGACTTTATTATATCTCAGAAAAGGGATAAAAGGACTTAAATAATTCCTGTGGAAATATTCCCATCAGCAAGTCAAACTGCAAATATTAATGAGCATGTTTTATCAAGTCTTCCCTGGTTTCAGCTGCTTCTTATGACTCAGCTGGCAGGCCAGAAAACATTGCCCAAAGAGAGGTACAGCAATACATCACAGAAAGGTACTGAAATAGCAGCCCTGCCATCTGCCTGAGCCACAGTCAGAGCAGATTCTTGAAAAGCTGGCTCCTTTGTTTTCATCAAGGCTAGGGATAGACATTCAAAAAGCCTGAGCCTGAAACGATTCAACCTTTGCAGGTTAGTCTAACCTGGCTAGGCTAAATCAGTTTTGTAACCAGACAGATATCCCAGAGATGCAGGCATGTGCCTGCAGTGGGTCAGGCTAAAAGCTAGGGGAACTAGAGCAGCCCTCCCCCTTCCCCTGTACTAAGCTATGGGGGGGCATGGCCAGACCCCAGCAGAATGCTCTGATTATGCCAGCAAGGAATTGATAACAGTGTTTATCACCCCATTAAGAAAACCACAGAGGGACATTACCAGCTACCTGCTGATTCTGCCTGTTGATTCAGCATGAACTGAAGCCAGCATGTGCTCTGCTAGCTAATAGACTGACACCTCTCCACAAGGCAGAGGGAAGTGGGGGATTCCTGCTTAGCAGGGAGTGGTGATGGGGAGAGGGGAGCAGCCTGCAGTCCCTGCTGTAGCTGTAGCCAAGGAGCAGAGCAGAGGGGGCAGCCCTGCTGTAGAGTAGAGAGTCCTGCCCAGCCCAGAGAGCATGCTGGGATGCTGGGAGAGTCTGGTTTATCTTAAATCAACAAGGGGTCTGGGACAGATATTGCATAAACTGGTTTGAGCCAAATCAGATAAGTCTGATTGAGATAAACAAGGTTTATCTCAAAATGGCCATTATTTCAGCCATTTTTAAACTGGTTTATGTGCACTGTTCTGTTACAGGGTTAAACGAGTTTCTGATCACTTAAACTGGTTTATGTGCAATGTCTGTCCCTAGCTCAAGACTCTGTCCACTACTCAGCTGAATTCTGGGTGTCAGAAACTATGGACTGATGCCTATCTCAAATATAGAACTACAAAACCAGAGTTATCCTGCCGAGGTTAGTGGAGTTACACTGAGTATTCCCTTGTGTCGCTGTGATCAGAAACTAGTCCTATCACCACAACTGTCCAGTGCACCTTGTCTTCGTTTAGAAGAAAAGTTGAGCAAGGCAGATATTTAAAAAAAAGCAGGAAAGGAGTTGTTGCAGAGAAGATTTGTTGCACAGAAGTCTTGAGTGAGGAGCCACTGCAGTGCAGAACTAAGGCTTGTTAAAAGCTGTGAAGGGAATGAACTTGCTGGAGAATGACTGGAGACTGTGGGCTAGGTTTTGTCCTGCACCAAAACCTGTGGGCATTAGAGACTGTGGTGGGTTGGAAACAATTAGCAAGCTGGTTACCATTCATGGATTTTCAAGCTCTCCTGGCATCAATGTCAGTTCTCATTTTTCCACACGAACACCCTTGAGGTTAAAAAAATATTAAGGCTTATGGAAAGGAGCACAGAAAAGATCTGATATATTAAGAAATGTGCCAGCCCATAATAACTGCCAATCTTGGAGAAATCACTAGTTGACACTGTTACACATGGTTTTGCAAGTGCTTTTTAGTGCATCTTTGAAAAATAATGTTTTTCAAATTGTTAACATTAGAATTGTTAACATTAGAAGGTACTTTTTATTTCAGAAGGCACTACAGATGAGAGAGGAGTTTGCTCTGTTTTACTCTCTTAGTTCATAGGGAAGAGTTGCTTCTTAGTGCCTGAGCAATGTTGCTGGGGCTAAATTTCTGAAACATGGATTTGTTTACATGCTATTTTTGACTACCTTTATTCTAGGTCTGGTGTATGTAGTGTAAACAAAACAAGTTACTGTAAAAAGTACATAGTATGTATTAAGAATAATCTTGCAAATGCTCAGGCAAGCAGTTTTCTAAACAAAGTCATAATGTTAGATCCCATTGTGTAAGAACAAGATGCAGCCCACCAGCTGAAAAAAATAAAGCAGAAGCAAGACCTTGGAGATGAAGGAGTCAGCAAAAAACCAGAAAAAAACAGTGATTGACCAAGAGTACCCGAGTCCATGGCCTTACGCATGCGCTCCTAGCAGAGAAGCATGTAAATGAATGTAATGCATAGGCAATTATATGCTAATGAAGTAAACAGTAAACTGAGGAGGAGCTTGAGATGGGAGGAGAAATGGGTGGAACAGGCGGAACAGAGGTGGAACAAATGTTAATATGTATGAACAAAGGTGTATAAAATGTGAAAAGAACTATTGTTCAGTGCAGACCCCCAGTTTGTTATTTTTTTGGGACCCTTGTCTGAAGCTGTCTCCATTCTGAATAAAGCTGTTGCGAGCAATGTGCGCTCCCACCTTGCTCTGGCTAATGAGTAACAGGATCCATGAGCAATTGGATCGTCATCTCCCTAGTTGTTGGGTGCCGCATAGAGTCGGGGTCTAACAGGTTCTACCTCACTTATTTCTCTGCCAGTGAGAAACTGACGTCAAGGCCCTAAAATTTGCTTCTCCTTGGCAGAGACAGAAAGAGAAAAAATGTATTTATACCATAAGATCATCCCAATGCTCCATTCAGAACCAAGACCAGAAAGGCACTGTCACTCTTCCAAACAGTGCACAGTCTGGAGTTGACAAAGAATCAGATAACTGATGAGGTTTGAAGCACAGAGGAAAACTGGCTCCTCTAGATTAAAGGGCAGAGTAGATTTGCACCTTGTGATCTAACCAAAGTGTGTGTGTTATGTGTGTGTGTATTGCTAATACATTGCTATATGTTTCTAATAGTGAATTGTGGGCAATCCCCTTTAATAGAAGTAGTAGAGCCCAGCTCTGCCTCATACCATGAATGTTTTCCCTAATCCTTGCTGTTAGTCAAGATTTTTTTCCTGGACAAACCCTGGAAAAGCTGATAATTTGTTGTCCAGTGTAGAGTTAAAAGGATATATGGCATATCAACCATGCAAAGACGAACCTGGAAGGACAGTCTCTTCTGTTACAAGCAATGGGTTGTAGCATTGGCTTGGGCTTCTCTTTGCAGAGGGATACGTTGACCTCTGTCCCATCAAGTAAGCACCGGAGTCGGGGTAGCTGCACCCCTCTGTTACCACAGGAAGCTGAACATGCCATCATCTTGTCCACTGACCACCAATATTCTGTCACAACCACAAGACACCCAAATTAACATTTAAAAACTGTCTGTAAAAGCCTGTTCGTAAATAACAGAACTAGATGAGTCTATCATCATTCTGGATATGTCTTCCAAGTCAAAATTACTCTTAAGAAATGTTTGGAATAGGTTCCTCATGTTTAGGAAAAGTATTCTTCCTACAAAGCATGAGGAAAATCTATACTGTTTAGGTCACTGTCTTCTTTAATATGGCAAAAGCTTTGCCATGTATTTATCTATATAAGAAATGGCATGGGTGATATGTGATTTCAGCTAGGATTAGTACATGTCCTATAGTTATTAGTGCACTAGACTGTGATTTGGGAGACTGTAATTCCCTACTTTGCAACAGACTTCCTGTCTGACCATAGCCAAATCACTCAGTCGCTCTGTGCTTGTGTTTCAGCTCTAAAATGGGGATAAAAGCTCTTTCATTATGAGAAGGAGATGATCAGATACTATGGTAATGGAGAGAGGGACAGATACATATAGGCCCTGGGGGATATTTTATAGCAATCCTGCATGATACTTAATGGAATCATCCAATGGAATTTAACAGAAAATACTAACCTCTATACATTTATGAAGTCATTTCAAGAAATTTAAAAGAGAATTGATATAACTAACACACAAATGTGTAGAACTGTACAGTCTCATTAAGTCAATGGAATTATACTGATTTAAACTAGTTGATAATATGCTTTCATGCCAGTTAAGAAGGGCTTAAACCAGGAAATTCAGATCCACTCAAACAAAATATGTCTGAATTGAATATTTAGAGTTGTCCCCATCTGACTTCTATACAGGACAGTTCATCCACAAGTTTTCAAGGCACTTGGAAGGTGGAAGGACTTTGTTTATAGTATATGCAATGTGCTATATATATTATTATTGTAAAATATTATATATAATAGTGGGGAAAAGTGACAATCTTGGTTTTAACTGTATATTTTTAATATTACTAATTCTTGGATATATGAAAAACACCCAGTAATTTTGGGGCACAGGAGATTTTGGTGTCATATGGCTGAATCTCCAGTGAGAGACTTTCAAGGGGCACAACTGCAGGTAAACAGTAGATATTTAATGCTCTCCTTTGCAAAGCTACCCTTAACTTGCAAAACTTAATTTAAAATCTAAGTTTAAACTTAGTGGCAAATGATACCCAAAAACTAAGTTCTGAAGAGGAAAAGGAGTATGCAATTATGGGGTCATCTGACCCCAGTACTCTTTCCTGCCTAGGCAGGGGGTTGGACTTGATGATCTGTTGAGATCCCTTCCAACCCTAACATCTATGAATCTATTAAAAGATCAACTAGTAAAATTAATCTGTAGACTGTTAGCAACCTAAAGTGATGCTTTCAAATTCCAATTCAAATAAATATATTATCAACAACAACTTTGGTCACTGTTTCTCAGCTGATGATTCATGACCCTCAAGAGATTCATTAAAGGGAGTCATGAAGTATGGAAAATATTACTGAACTCTAAAACAAAGAAAATATCACCCCTACTCCCCTGCATTGCCTTATCCTACAAGGCCATGTATTCATTATTAACCTCTCAGAACAAACCTGGCAATACAACATGTAGCTTTGTCATGGTTATCACTGGTACCCCTGATAAATCTCATGGGCACATCTAAATCTCATAGTAAATGAAAGGAGGTCACAAAATAATTTTACTTCAAATAAAGTGTCTCCAATCCAAAAATATAATTTGGGATAGAGACAACCCTCATCTGGTGCTGAAGGGTAGGGTGGGTAGATTGGAGCCACCCTTGTGGGGCCCTAAAATGAGCTCCCTCTTCTCCCTTTTCCCCCTTCCATTCTGAAAACAGAGCCTGGGCTGGGAGGGAGGAGGGGCTTTTGCAAGGAAAACTGGCTGCAGGCTTGCAGACAGCAGCTGGATTCCCCAATCCCCGCTCCCCCCTTGATCCAACAGTGAACTTCCGTTTGGTCTGGGGGATCACTGTAGCTCAGAACACTTCCTGCAAAGTGTTATGACTTACCGTGGGGAACTGCTGTTCTGTCTGCGCCCTTAGTAGACCTGTCTTCAAATTTACCCTTAGTGGCTAAAGCACCAGAACAACTGAATACTGCAACTACTACTCTTGGCATCAGGGTAAAGGCATTGAAAATGATGATAAGCCAGGTTAACAGTAGCATCCTGAGCATATTTTTACCTTGGATTATAAGAGATGTTTTTTGCATCAGTGAGCCAGCTTCATTTTGTGCAAGGCAGCTGAATTCACCCTGATAACCGTCAGTGATATTTAATATCTGAAGAATCTGACCAGCTGCTAAGATGTGGTGTTTAATGCTGATGGGTTGACCAGCATAAAACCAGGTGATGTTAGGGGTTGGATGACCATCTACTGGGCAACCTAGAAAATAAGAAGAGAATTAAACCATCTGCTAGCAAAAGGAAAGTTAAATTTCCTGTAAGTCACATAGTGCAGAGCTTAGTATTTTGATATCAATAAAATGTGGTATCTCATTTTCCCTTCTTTTTGTCAACCACTAATGATTAAGTAATGCTTGCAATGGCAGTCTTAACAATAGAAAAACAGTTAACCCGCCCCCCCCCAGTAACTTACTGCATTTCCACAACAGCTTCCATGCAAAGATATGAAATCACCGTTTAAATCATCCAGTGACCTCCCTTCAGCCTTGTACTTTCTTTTTCAAAACTACCCATTGTCACCTCCCCAGTAACCACTTCATTACCTGCCTTAAAATTCTTCTACTAATGTTTAACTTAATACTTTTCATTGTAACAGGGTACATCTACACATGCATTTGATCTGGGTTCAGTTTACTGGTGAGTAAATGCTCCCAGGCAGGCATCTACACATTCAGGGACTAGGGAGAAGATTTGTTGCTAATGGCAGCAAACTGGTCCTGCTTCCTGGGGCCCTGAAATAGGCTCCCCCTGGGTGCTAGCCCAAGGGCTGGAAGGGAGCACTGGACCGGGAGACATCTGTCTTCTGGCTGGGGTTGGGACATTACAGATACTCTGCCCCCTGGGGCTGCCTGCTGCTGGGGTGGGGACAATGTCCCCCTGCCCCCGCAGCATGGGGCTCCTGGCCCTGGCTCCCTGATTAGGGGCAGGGGGCTTGGAAAGAGCTGCAGGGGAGGGACAGGTCCCAGCCCCCTGCCCCAATGTGCCTGTGGGGCAGCTAGCAGCTAGCTTACTACTAGCTAGGACTCATTTGAGTCCCGTTTTTGTTTTTAGGGTGTTTTTTTTTTTTTTTTGGGTTGTTCTCCCGCCCTGGCGGGGGGTCGGGCTAGAAGATCTATTAGGTCCCTTCCGACCCTGTAACTATGAAACTAGCTGTCCCACTGGCAGATCAGGGCAGGGGGTTGGGATCTACCTCACCCCTGTAACTTTCTTAGCATCATGCCTTGATCACCTGCCTAGGGCACAGGGCTGGGACCTGCCCCTGACCAGTTCCCAGCCCCAGTTCCCAGCACATGGGTGGAGGCTGGGGAGTTTTTTCCCTGCTCAAGTCGGCAAGTGCAGAGCTGGGTGGGGAACAAGCTGGGGAGTTTATTCATCACTTAGCTCTGCGAGTGCGGACCTGGGCAGGGAATAAGCTCCCTAGCTTGTTTCCCACTCAGTTCCATGAGTGTGGAGCTGGGTGGGGAACAAGTTCCCCAGCCTGTTCCCTGACCAGCTCTATGCTCGTGGAGCTGGGTCGGGAACAGGCTTCCCAAGCCCTGAAAGCAGGTGGATATCAGCACCAGCTCCATGGTTTCAGGGCTGGTGCTGGGAGTCTCTTATCTCCCAGCACCAGCTCTGTGGCTGTGGGACCGGTGCTGGGAGATAAGGGTCTCCCAGTGCCAGCCCCATGACTGTGGAGCTGGTGCTGGGAGATAAGGATCTCCCAGCCCCCTGCTCCCCGATTGCAATTTCAAAGCAGGGGGCTTGGAGTTCCCTGCTGCCGGGGCAGAGGGACATAGTCCCCACCCAGGCTCTGGTGGTGAAGCCTGTCCCAGAAGAAGGCAACTCCCAGGGGCAGGGAGCAATTTCCCGCTCCCTCATGGACAGCTAACCAGGAGCAAATTTGCTCCCAGTCAGAGGTCTACATGAATGCTACTGCATCATTACTAATTGAAAGTAAATTTGCTACTTGCACTTGCAGGTAGCAAATTTATTTGGGATTAGTGAGATTTACTGTGTAGTAAGCATGTGCACATGTAGAGACTTTGCAGTAAATTAAGCTACTGTGCAGTTAAGCATCTTGTGTAGACATGCCCACACTGTGTCAAATGCTCTTACTGAAATCCAGACAGATTCGATGGACACCATTTCCTATGTTTCTAAAAAACCCAGTTATCTTAGGAAATAACTAGAACTTGAACTAGTCTGACACAATCAGCACATCCAGATGAGTGTGAAGGTGCAGTCTGCGGTGCTGCAAAGCCATCTGTAGCACCACAAACTGAACTCACCATATATGCACACATTGGCCGTGCTTCTAACTTGCAGCACAGAAGGGATTTTTGACACTAGGAGATCCATGCATCCAGGCTCCATGTACCCAGATCGCTACCGCTAGAGCCCTGGGATGGCCGCAAAGCCAAGGTAAGGATGCCCAGGTGCTGGCCCCAACCTCCCCAACCCCACCTGGGGCAACTTGCCACATGCCAGAGCATGCATACAGGGACATTCCCTGGGGACAAGTAGTAGCAGAACAACTGTGTCACTATTTGTGCCCTGGGAAACACACATGCATGCTTATCTAGACGCATGCAATGAATCTTTGGTAAATATCTCTTGCATTTTATCCAGCTTCCCATTCACTCTGGCATACAGCATATTGCCCGGGGCGGGGGCAGGCGGGGGGAAGACTGCGGCCAGTACTGAGGCTGGTTCCAGAAGCCTTACCTGGGGTCCTGGGAGCTCCCCAGAGTTTCAGCAGTGGCACCCCAGCAGCAGAGTGCCTGGTTGACAGCCAGAATGTGGCTCTGGCCAGCCGGCATCTGGTCTCAGGCAGTGCATATTGCTGCCATGTGCAGCGCCCCACTTTTTTCTGCTGCAGGTTTTTTTGCTACTGGGATTTCCCATTGTCAACACCCACCCCCTGGCATTACAAATTAGCAGTGTGGGAATGCCTGCATGTGTGGCAGTAGATGGGCCTGTGGCACCACATACTGCATGTTTGCACTCATATTGATGTCCCTTTGAGCTCTCTCTTCCCAATAACTGTAGCAATTTCTCTTTTTGGACCCTCTTTCCCATTAGCTACCATGACTTTACTCTCACATTTAATTTCATTAGCCTCATTGAAAACCTAGCAAAGTATTCACTTAGTTTTTGGCACCTACCTAGATTATCTTTATTCTCTACTCAGTCCCTATTGCATTGTAGTCCCACTTCTTCCTGTGTTCTTATCATATATATATAAATAAAATAAAAATAGTGGTTTGCGATGTGGGATTTGGATTTGGCCCGATTCAGGGGACAGTGATTCAATTTGCTGATTTGGATCACTGTCCCACTTCGATTCTGATTTGGAGAATCAGTGATTCGGCCATAAACATAGCTTTATATGTTTTTTCTACATACATTGAGGTACCAGTCATGGCATATGAATGCTGAGATGGTGGGGCAGAGGGAGTGTCCCACAGGAGCGTGGGGGGTCCCCCCGTGTGCTTGGTGGTGGACCTGGAAGTGGACTGGAAATACTTCTGGTTCACTTCCAGGTCTGCTGCCAAGCATGTGGGGGACACCCCCACACCCAGCGATCGGCTGTGGAGGGGCCTCAGGTGCCCCCCCAGACCCAGGAGGCACCACTCACTGAGCTGGGGGCGGGGCTGTGCACTCTGCTGCAGACCCAGAAGTGGACTGGAAGTGCTTCTGGTCCACTTCTGGATCTGCTGCCAAGTGCTCTGGGGACCCCCCCCGGGACGCTCCATCCACCCCAGCATCTCAGCATTCACAAGCCGCCTGCTACCTTGAGGTATGTAGAAAAAAAACATATAAAGCTGTGTCTATGTCTGAGTCATCAAATTTCTCCAAATCTCTCTGAATCGAATCGGAGATTAATGGGTCTCCTGATTCAGTTTGGATTTGGAGATTCGGCTGCCAAATTGGGCCGAATCTCCACCGAATCGAATCAGCAACTGAAGCTTCACACAGTCCTAATATATAATCTGTTTTACAAAACTTTTGTTATTTAAACAATATCCTTGGCACCTCGGATTTTGTTCTGGCAATTTTTTCTTCCTGATCTGTTTAATTCATTTCTTGTAAGTTTTCTGCTGATTCCTAGCAACTTTTCTCTCATCTTTATCTTGTCTTATTCCACATATCCTTTTTAAACACAGATGTATTTTTCCCTGGCCTTTTTTTTTTTTAAATCAATAACTGAACCAGTCCAAGGCAGAAAACTGGCATGGAAGATTTTAGTCCAAATGGTTAAATTTTGCTAAAGTTAACAACAACTAAAAATAACGTGGGAAATGTTGGGCAATCTTAATTATGGGTGGCTACCGCTCCCTCTTGTAATTTGCTAATTTCTAGACAGGTTTTTCTCTGCAGTAATTGCAGAGGGGAATCTCAAACTTCAACATGTAAATGTGATAATGGACAAAGAGATGCAGTGGATTCAGTTTGATTGCATGTATCTGCAAAATCAACATCCACAGGTTAAAAAGCAAACATGAAACAGCTGATATTAACAACCATTTCCAGTTGAGCTCTAGATGCACCTTCTGGTTTTTTTAAATATTTATTATTGCTCTTCTCATTACTGCATATTTTATTTTCTTCCAAACATAAATATAAAATAGTAGCATATGGGAATAGCTAGTAGCCAACAACAGGGGAAAAAATCAGAATCCAATACTTTCAATATGTGTTACCAACGAATAATTATTAAATTTTTCCATGTCTAATGAAAAAACCTTACTTAGGCCTTATGAGGCTTCTATGTAATGGATATTTCCCATCTGCGTGAGTGACATGAACATCAATCACTCTTCACAGGTGACATATCCTATACATATCCCACTTGTACATGTGCATAAACTATTGGATAATGTGTTATACATATTAAGCAAGAACAAGACTGTAATAAAATATCTGCTCTTATAACATCCCTTTCTCCTTCTCCTCCCAGGAATAATATTAATACCATTTAATGCAGATTACCAACACCTATGTTCTATTTCCTCCCAACAGATGAGTATTTGCTGTTTTATCCTTACAATGCTCAACACCTGCAACAGGAATGGGATGAACAATATATGAAAGAGAAACTGGTTTTACTTCCAGACACTGTAGTTATTAAGGGGCTTCAGTATGTCATGACTCTTATGAGGGGAAGCAGCATTTGGGAATGTTGCCTGCCTAATGAGAACTCTGGCAGCTAAAGGC